ATTTTAGTTGCTTTAAAAACTTAGAATTATCAGCTTAAATTTGTATTCTAAAGAAAGAAAATTAAGAGATGTAAACACTTTTTGGCTTCATTGCTTTGAAAAATAAAAAATATATACAATTGTAAATTGGGTTGGTCTATTTGGTGTCATATAGGTAGTAGCCCGAGAATACTACTGGTCCCTTAAGTTATCAAATTTTACCCTAAACTGTAAAACTTTGTTAACATATTTTGACATTATCGGGGGGGTATAGCAATTCACTTCCGAGTAAAATTCAACCCCTGGCAATTTGAATTCAAAGCGAGTTTGATTAAAATTCACTCGGAATGAATTGTAGAACCTGCCTGATTAGTGCTGTTACCTGACAAGAGTACAATCCCAGTAGATAATTTCAGGAGTTAAAAGCCCTTCCGAAAGACTTTCCCGAGAGTCAAGAGGCATTCCACTCTACATTCCTTTCTCCTTTCTTTTTTGTATGGAGTGGCACAAATTGAAGGGCTTCTTCTTTCCTTACCCATAGAACGCCTTCAGAAGGCCTTTTGGAGAAGTTCTTTTCAAGTTGCTTCTTTAATTTATAGAAATCATACATATTTAATTATGTGTTATTGCAACTTAAAATGTTTATTGAAATTCATTTGTAATGCTTAATGATATGAATTTATCCATTCGCATAAATTGTAAATGAATAAGCCCTTCTAGAAGGAATGGCTTCACTTAAGAGGGCCTACCTAAAGTATCTTCTTTTTAAATAAATTAAATGCACCGGCATCCGACATTTCTTTTTCAGATTCCTGCATACAGTATTACAGTATACAGCTTTGTATTGTAGTGAGTGAAACCAGCTGTAATTTTATTTTGTTCGATCACGGATGCCGTAATTCGGGCCCAGTTTCTGCTAAGAAAGAGGTCGTTATCATACGAGTAACAAGCATTGGAGTAAAAATCGTGAGAATTTTGTTTCGGCTGTTCCACCAAGTGTACAATATTTATGTATAGTCCCTCCAGAAAAATTTAGAGACAGTCTGGCAAAGCGCTAGTTCCGAACTAAATATTTCAGAACTATCTCTGAACTAGTAAAAACGGCTACAGAGCGGGACAGTTGAAACTTGCGGTTTATGTAAGTGTACACATTCTCACTTCTCGTACAATATGAAAGTAGCTCAGCGTGAAGACCTCCGACTCAAGCATCGTTGGTCGCGAGTTCAAATCGAGGTGGAGGCAGTTGTGAGTTTTCAGATTTAATGAATTTAAATTGTTGCGTGCCGCTTACAATATTTTTATAAAATATGTAACAAACATGTAATCTGTAAAAGAAAAGAAAACACGGAAAAATATCCAAAAATCGAATTTTAAAAACGAATTAAAAAACTAGCCAAAACGGAACCGGGCAAAAACTAGTTGCAAAGTAATGCACTGGGCGACAATTGGCAATCGC